ATCTGTTGCTAAAGCCAAGTTTTAGTTCTTTGAAAAGCTATTGCCTGGCTTGTCTTCAAGGAACACTTCTTGTGTCCCATCTTAAATGTGAGAACTAACCATGTACATCGTGTTCTTACATTATTATATATATGACTGGTTTATACAGATTCTTTTTCTGACTAGGTCTAATATGAAAGTAAAGGGGCCCTAGAAAAAAAAATTTTTTGTAACAGGGCTTCCTGCATTCAGCCATGCTCAAGTGATCTCTAAGGAGAACTCTCACGTCTCTGAATTTTGCAGGGTGGAAACTGGAAGCAGGTTATACGGGTGGTCAAATGTGGCCATCTATGTACTGTACTACCTAATGGGACCTGATTTAATCTAGTCTGTCATGCCTGCCTTTCGCTGGTAGTCACAGGGAAATATTTGTCCAAGGGAAGCTCTTCAGCTGTTAATTAAATTGAAATTTTTCAAAAAGCAGAAAAAAATCTCTGAATTTTTTTATCAGCTTCCCAGCCACTGGCTCTTACAGTACTTGAGACTGTACTTCTGATGGGTGTATGATGGGTTTATAGTACTAAATCTTCTTCATGAATCCAAACTCTGATTAAGCTGAATATGTAGAGTCTCAAATTCCATGGTAAGACAGGTTTTGCAGGTTTGGATTTTTTGGTTGTAGGTTGGTTTTTTTTTTGGTTGGTGGGGTTTTTTGGTTTTTGTGTTTTGTTTTGTTTTAAATTGCCTACAACTTTTATTTCTGAATTCCCTCCACAAAGGTCTGGTGAAGAGATGATTGTATTATACCTATATCAGAGAATTGGACGCTTCCAGGAATGCTGATAATGCTGAGTGCTTTGTATGTGCTACAAAGTAGGTGCTAAAGTAAACAGTGGGTCTCACACCTCCTGATTTCCTGAGCAGCTAACATAAAATATCACAATGATCTTTCAGTTACATCCCTCTTTCTTTCTATCCACTTGCAACCTTGAAGTAGGCTGATCTTCAAAACAGGAATTCCCAGTAAGAAATCTTCATAATGAGCTGAGAAACTGGTCCTGACTTTGAAAACTAGATGAAACATCAGAGCAGCCCCTCAGCACAGATGGGCACTGGTGTTACCTCCTGCCCTGCCTTTCAGACCATAGCACCCACTTCTTCTCAGGGAGACTTCTCTGAAAACTATGACCTTGAATTCTGAAAGCAAATCCAATGCTCCAATGCAGAGAGAACTTCCTTAAGCACAAAACTGTAATCTATTTTGGGGGTTACATTACTGCCTGTCCTGCTCTGGAGCTGGATTACTTTCAAGAATGCGTGAGTTATAGGGCCAGGAGGTCGGTATGGAAAAGGGAGCCTGCATTGGTAGGTACTTTATGACACAGTAACTGGATACAACGAAGAAATAAAGCTAGGGGCAGACACAGTGATCCTGGGTCTTCCCCTCCTAGCAGTGACCTGACCTCTGAATGACAGAGCTGGATTTTGACAGTCTTACTTCCATGCCAAGGATTTTTTACACTTCTAAGCCTGATAGCCCAGCTCCAGCATGTTGGGTTTGATGAGTTTATGAACTCATACTTGATGCTAATTTCCTTATTGATGCTAATTTCCTTATCTCAGGGAGAAAAACTTGCCACATGATATGTAAATGCAGCCAAGCCTTGTTGGGTGTCTTGTCTAAGGTTAAGTTATTCTCAGCTCATACACTGGAAAAAAGCAGCTGGCAACAATGCTTGAAGAAGTTGAAAATTGTCGCGAGGGATCGGCCACTAGGTTGGCTATGGGGACCCCAAGTGCAGCAGGAATGGGGGGGCCCAGGCTGGCACTGGTGTATGTTGTAGGGGCTTTGGTCTCTTGAGGCAGTTCTCACTTGCATGGTCTCAGCCACATGCTGTTTCATTCTGTTCCATCTAAGTAGGGCAGAACAGCCCTGTCCTTGCCAAAAGCCAGATTCTTCTCCAATACGTTTTGTGTTTCTTCTCATCCCGCTCTGTCTGCAGACAGACAGCATTCACTGTCCTGCTTTGGGTTCAAATTCAGTTTGCCAAAATGTTCTCTTTCTCTGGGAGTCCTGAAGTTTCTCTTCTCTTTGCATGTGAGTGCTGAAAATATATGTGTAGTCCTTGGCAAGTTGCTGGCACCGTGTGACCTTGTTTGCACCCTTACTTGCTTGAATAGGGGATTTGTGTGCCAGGGCTTAGAAAGGGGTGATTTGCAGGCTAGTAAGGGGTAACGCTGTGATTAGAAATTCCACCATCTGACAGAATGCACATTTGACCTGCTAGTGTAGAATAGATCATTGCCCTGTTATGTAAATATTTTAAGGTTCAAGTTTGATAAGGATCAATGACAGAAATAGGTGGTGTGTTCCTACCTGTCTGTAGAAGTACTTGCACATATTGCAGTGTTTGGTTTCTAACTGTACAATAGTGGCTTTGATTATAATGCTTTATTAGTTATAAACACAGACTTACTGAATAAATCCTACTTACTCTATTGAATGGCTCTCCATGCCTACATAAAACCATTTAAGCAATTAGAATACTGCTATAGTATTTCTCTATATTGTAGACTTTGTTGTTAGTTCTCTGTCAGCTTTCCTGAATTCCTACATAGGATTTCTGCTTGACCACTACTCTTGGCACAAAAAGGAAACATGTCCTTTCAAGTTTCATTTTATGAAGAGAAAGGGCAGGCGTGGTAACACAGGGTTTCATAGAATTGTAGAGCCATGAAAGTTGGACCTAAGATCCAAAAGCCCTAAAGATCATCCCAAGAAAAGAGGAGGGGTGGGGGAAAGGGTGTGCCTCTTCTTTTGACCTTTGCTGTCCTCTTCTACGCCAGGATCAGAAAAATGAGACTGGAGAGGCAGTATTTGTGTATCAAAAGAGTAGAAGAGTATGCCTGAGAAATGTGGCATAAGGCATCTTGTGAAGAGCTCACCTCTGTCTTTTTCTAGAAGCCAAAGGTTTGTAAATCTGGTTTCTTTTCCTCCCCTTTCTATATAAAACACAAAGGACTAGGAATCAGTTGTTTTATCTACTACTGAAATGCAGCCATCAGTGCAGAATAACATGAGAGCAATTTGAAAGGAAGCATGGAACACTATATTCAACTGAAACTAATTACCTGATTAGGTTTTGGCCTGGCTGTGTGGGTTGACATCCAGTGGACTTGGCAGCAATACCTGCCTGTAAAGCCAAGTCTAGTCTTGCTTCGTTTAATGACCTTGGACAAAACTTCTGGACTTGCATGCTGAATGCTAAGCAGTGTGAAAATAGGCCACTGATTTAAAGTACCCATAGCTACAGTGGGTGTTCAGTGGGGAGATAGCATGGTTGCAGATAAATGAACTTTTTTGTGGTTTAGAAGCACTGATCCATTTAAAGGTGATTCTCTTTCAAGCATACACTTGCATGAAATTTAACTCTGCATCAGAACATCCTCTGTTTAGAGCTATACGATTGGCACTTTTGTTTCCTTCAGCACTTCAGGCTTCTCCCCTTAGAAACTTAGCCCAAGTCTGACATTGAGATGTTGTAGACTTAGAAAATAACCTTAAGCAATATCATCTGTCTGCTAGAGTAGTTCCTTTTCTTTATCTCCACAGAAGTTAAACATGTTAGGTCTGCTTAATTAGGTGAGAAGCATTTGTTACTGCAATTATTGTCCTTTTTTGCACCTTTACTGCAAACACTTTTTGATCTTTTTGTGTCATTGTTTGGAAAGTGACAAGTTTTCCAGATGACCTGTGCAACATCTGAACATTAGACATTAGACACTCTAATTACCAGTGTGATGGTAGTTTTTTGTCTAGGTATCTCTCTAAAGGAAAATAATGAAAATCATTCCAGTGATTAAAATCATTGGAAGGGTTTGAAGCTCACTGTGAGGAGAGAGATACGTCTTTCTGCTGTACACTATAAAAATATTCAGTAAGAATAAAGAAAGATTTGGATGGGAAGCTTCTGTGCACCCACTCCTGGCACTGAAGAGCTGCTCTGTTCTCTTTTCCCAGGGAGAGTGACATGAAATGAACGGCCAAATGAGCAGTTCACTAGTGAGACTTTATAAGTAAATTTAGTACACCTAGTCTGATGTTCTGGAAGCACATTGAGACCCATTACTAAAATGAATTGGACAAGAGCTGGTAAGAGATGCTCCACAGAAGAAGACATAATAGACAACCATAGAAAAAAAAATTTTTGCCACCTGACTGACTTTTTTAACTTAGCAACAAGCTTATGCTGTAACCTATTCCTTAAAATCTAAAATAAATATTGAATCCTCTCATGTTCACAAACCTTCTTAAACCATTTTCCCAAGAGGCCTTGCATTTGTGAAGTTCTCTAAGTTGTGTTTAAGCATTTCCTCTTACTGCAAAAATAAATCCATCAAGGTTTTGGCCTCATACAAAGACAACAAATACAAGCCTGTAAGTGCCATAAGAGCCCTAAGAAACTTAAGAAGCATTTTAAAATAATAAAAATAGTTTTTTGGACACCCCCTGCTACTTCTGTGGAGAATGAGGCTGGGCTGGGACTCGGGGGCTGAAGAGACATGGGCGTGCACTTTGTGTAACCTGGTATTCCCCTCTCCCCTGCCATCCCAAATCAGCTCTCATCATCTTGGCAAGAGTTTTTTGAGCCTTTGCTAGCCAGGAGTTTGCCCAGCTGTTTGGCCCAGGATATCACAGAGAAGGAGGAAATGTTTCTGGCTGAAGATTTTGTAAAACCACCACTTCAGCCACCAAAGCATCAAAGTCCCTGTGGGGAAAAAACCAAGTAGCTGGAAAGTTTGGGGAGGGTTGAGGGGGAGCAGTGTGACTTTCCAAAGGGCCTGGCCTCTTCTTGATAAGTAATCACCCTAGAAGAGAGTTAATCTAGGAAAAGTGATGGGATTATAAAGACGATAAGATCTCCACTTCTTCTAAAAGCATGCGTGAAGTATCAACTCTATTCCATTTCTGTGGTTTGAAGATATGTTTCTCCTAACAGTGCCTTGTGTTGCCTTTGCAGGATGGTTTGGAAATTTGCCCTGTCCGTTCTTCTGATGGCAGCACTGGTTCGAGTATCGGAGGCCAAGAAAAGCCGCCCCGCAGGTGCCATTCCCTCCCCGTACAAAGGCAGCAGCAGCAACCACTCGGAGCGGAGGCAGCAGCTGAATAAGGAGGTGCTGGCCTCCAGCCAGGAGGCTCTGGTGGTCACCGAGAGGAAGTACCTCAAGAGCGACTGGTGCAAGACGCAGCCGCTGCGGCAGACAGTCAGCGAGGAGGGCTGCATCAGCCGCACCATCATCAACCGCTTCTGCTACGGGCAGTGCAACTCCTTCTACATCCCGCGGCACGTGAAGAAGGAGGAGGAGTCCTTCCAGTCCTGCGCCTTCTGCAAGCCACACAAGGTCACCTCTTCGACCGTGCAGCTGGAGTGCCCCGAGCTGGACCCACCGTTCCGACTCAAGAAAATTCAGAAGGTCAAGCAGTGCCGGTGCATGTCTGTGAATCTGAACAGCTCAGGCAAACTGTGAGAACAGGCGCGTAGCTGCTGCTTGGTGTTGCCTCCATCAGCTTTACTGCTGCCTCGCCCCTCCCACTGAGCAGACTGTCCATTTCATTGGTTTGTTTCCTCTTTTCCTTTTTTTTTTTTGGTGTTTTGTTTTCTTTCAGGAGGCATCTCTCCAGCAAGGAAAGGCTCCTTGTCACTTGCCTACTGGAATAACGCTTTATAACCAGCTGTGTTAGGCACTTCACCATAAAGTTTCATTGTATTTTAAATATCATCTGGCAGTTGAATCTTCTGGAGTGGAGCAGGCTCACAGAAGTTGGGATTGATCATCTAAGTGACCAGTTGGCTGAATCCAGCATTAAATGTTTCCACTGTGTGGAGTAAAGCCCTCTGCCCTACACTCCAGTTCCCTCCACAAGCTGAGAACACCTTCCCTGTGCTTTGGTCTGGAGCTTGCTTCTCTCACTTGGAAGTGCTGGGGTGCTGCCCAGGACTGAGGGACACAGATGAGGGAGAGTAACGAGGAGTAATGTGTGAAAAGCAAGTGAGACTTTCCGATGAGGCTCCTCTCCTTAAGACAGTTCCAATTGTGCAATGACAAATGATTCTGGGCTTGTTGTCTGAGCGGCAGATCAGAAGCAAGGGGAAGAGGGTGAGGCGCTGGGTCAGCCACAGTGACCACAGAGCAGACTGAGGGTGGGTTCTGATGCTGTTGTGGTTAGAGTATATTGAACACATGGCCTCTGCAGCAGTGTTTATTTTGTAACCTAGCTATAGTAAACAGCTGTTTAAAGTATTACAGACCTAGCCATGTATATTTTTCTTGTGGCAGAGTATGCCAGTGATTAAAATATGTTAAGAGACTCGGTTGCTAGGTTGGCTGCCTGGCTTAAAATGGACATGGTTTTACTATGCTTTTGGTAGGTTTTTGTATGTTAGATATGTGTGTGTGTGTGTTTCTTACTCCAAAAAAGGACAGCATCCATTTATGACCTTATATTTATGCCTGCTCAAACCAGGGGAGGTAGAGGGGTAGTTGGAGAGAACGTTTAAGGGAATGATGTGTCCCCAAAGGTATAAAAGCACTGTCACACAAAGGACAAAGTTTGGTCATTGCTGGACTGAATACAAAAGCTACATAAGTGTCATCAAGTTTTGGGAGTGGTGTCTCTCCCATGACTGGAAACCATGTTAATGTGTTAGTTTTAAAGGACAAACGCCTCAATCAGTGATGCCGGAATGGGTCACAGCTGTGAGAGCAGGGAGAGAGTAAGTTGTAATTGCTACACTATTGGTGGTCCACTCAGTTTTTGAGACCTGCACAATAAGTGTTGGTGAACACTTGCAGTTCATTTAAAATCATACTATGTTGTTATTCAGTTGATGGTGTTTAACATTTGTCCTGTATATCCCATTTGTTACAGTTCTGATTTGTATTAGTCCCAGCTGCATTAAAATCCTGTCTGAAATCAGCCCCTTCCCCCAAACCAAAGCCAGTGCACACGCAGTTGTCTGAAGCTTACAAATTAAAGATGACACGCTGGCTCCCTGTGCCTGTAGCACAGCTCAGCATCTGCAGCCTGCTGCCGGAGCCCCTCCCCAGCAGCCTCTGTGCATGCAGCCACTTCAAGGGGTTAACGTGTTCAGCACTGTCACCAGCCAGGGCTTCAGAGCCACAGGTCCCCATGAGGTGACACAGGCCTCCCTAAGAGGCTTTGAGGACTGATCTCCACAAGAGCCCCAAGCAGTTTACAGGGACTGCTGTGGGCAGGGGGAGGTTGGTCGGCTCTGGCAGCCCTGTTACATGAACAGACATTGCCTTTCTGCTGTGACCTTCCAACATGTCACAAGTATACAGGGAGACTCCTGGTGCAGGGAAGGCTTTCGGGGCGGCTGCTGCTGCCCTGTGGCATCGTACCAGCCCCAGGATGGGCACAATTCAGACTCAGTCTCAGTCTTGAGAGTGTGGGTGTGGGTGGGATGCAGATGGGGAAGGTGGCAATATAGTCTACTAAGACTCCGGGGATCTCAGTCTTCACCTGAAAGGAATTAACTGAAAGTCAGACACTTTGGACCAGAGAGAGAAAAGCACCCTAGTAAATTCACTTAAGAAAAACGTGCAAGAATCTTTACCTTTAAGCTATGCCCGCCCTGGGTTTTTCACCAGTTTGCAATATGAATATGCTGCAGCTTAAAGCTCCTTCTAGGAGCTGTGTTTATGTAAAAAACTGAGTTGAGCTTGTAATGGTTAAAACTGTATTTAATTCTTGTTTTATAAATGAAAACAAAAAATGAAGAAATGCTTTAAGTATAATGTAATTATTTTCTAGGTCAACTATTAAATTATAGATTAAATAATAAAGCTACTCTAGGGTTATATGGCATCCAGGTGTTTTGCTTCAACAGTTTGTGTCCAACTGCTCTCTAACCAGTATATTCTCCAGCTTCCTTTTCACCCTCCCAAATATAGGTGAATGATGGCTCACCCTGACAGGTTGGGAAAACCTAACTACTTCTCCCCTTGTTTCCCACTCCCCTCAGAAGTACCTGGAAGGCAAGAGAGAAAAATAAAATGCATTATTCTTAGATTCTGGAGTTGATTTTGCATGCACTTATTCTGGGTTTTTTGGTAAACTGACAAATAAAGCTCCACCACTGGCTGAAACACTGCCATCATTTGCCATAGGAGGAGTAACTAACCTAAATAATTTTGTTTAAAATATATACAGATCCTTATGTAACAGGCACTAAAGTACTCATAAGGAAAAAAAAAAGTTATATCCTAAGATATAGGTGAGTTTTAGTTGTTGCTGTCAGCTCTTGAATAGGTTCAACATATGGCAGTCCAAAGATGGGGTACTATTTTGGGGCTTGTGGTGTTTTTTCCCCTACCAGCCCAGAGATAATTCAGTTTCTCAAGGGAAAATTTCTGTGTGGAAAGGGAGCTGTCACATTGATTGATGAGCCTCCATGTGACCAGAAGAGATGCCTGTGATGAGTCTTGAAAGAAGCAGAACCTAGACCACAGCTAGCAAGGGAGGGCTCTGTCCTTTATGGCACTGTGCTTGTAGGAGCCCTTTGCTGTCTTCCCTTCCCTGGCTCTTGCCAAGTTCAGTGTTGGGAGACTTTTTTTAGTAGCTGTTGCTTTAGAGAATTAGTGTTTTGCTTTGCCTTAGCTTCCTAGATGTGGGCAGGCTCCCTGCTGAGACCTCCCAAGCACCTCTGTCACTTGGCTCAAAGGGAGCTCAGCCGTCACCTCCTCGAATGCCCCTCTCTCATTCCCATCATCTCCTGGCCAGTCTCCTGCTTTGCAGGTCAGGGATTGCCCAGCACCCATCTGAACCTCTGCTGCTTGAGGCACAGCCCAGAATCCAGCTCCAGTTCTCTGTCTGTTGCTGCCCAACTGTTGAACCATCATTGTACCAGAGGAATACTCTGTGATCCAAAAATCTCCCACTTGTGCAAGCAAACCAAGAACAAGGCGAATCTCTCTGAGTACATGGAAAAGCTGTAGGTCAGACAGATGCAGTTACTTCTTAAAGTGAACAGGTGCTACAGGACAGGGAAAGGGAGGAAGACAGTGCATGTTAAGCTCAACCACAATTGAACTGCCATGTTGGCAGGGCCCCAATTTGGGGTGGGTGGCAAGTGAAGTTTCTAAGATGGTAAATTTGAGCAGCAGCTGGGAATAAATGAAATAACAGTGCTGACGCAATAGGGACCCTTTATGTTCAGAAACACAGCATTTTAACAGCATTTTTTTGAGGCAATGGACTTACCCCTGGATGCTCTTTATAAGAAGAATATCAGATACAGGAACAGATGGGCCAGTTGTAAGCAAGAGAATAACTCAGAAAAACTGTTCTGTAATGAGAATCCTCTTGATGGGTGGCAGTCATGAATGGTATTGGGGCATGGTTTTCTCTTTTCTCCCTTTTCTGACTTGTTTACACTTTATTCAGAAAAACTCAACTTCATGAGTTTTCGCTAATTCTGTCCATAGTAGTTTAAAATGATTGTAACTGAAGTAACTAGTATAGTGGATTTGTCACAAATTTGGCTTTGCTTTTAACCTAGAGGCTGCAACAAAATAATTGCAATGCAATGACTTGCTATATGTTCTCTCAATGAAATTAATATTTGCTTCCAACTTTTTAAGCTGATCACTGAAAAACTGGGCAAGAAAAAAGTGAGTCTGTGGAAGATCCTTCTAATTATTATTCCCACTGCCCCAGCTGGTTAATACTTAACTAAGTTTTGGAAGTGTTTTGGGATGATGAAAGGTGCTACAAAAAAAGCTAACCCACTACAGTGTCACGACGTGACAAAGTGCCATGCTTCTGAAAGGCTTTAATTGGCAGGCAAAACAACATGAATCCTCTTAGCTCCTCATAAAAAACCAAATTGTTCTGCCAGCATGTCACATCTGCTGCTCAGGTATGAAAGTCCTTCTTTTGCTGCTGCATTTAAGTAACAGTGAGCAATATGTGGTGTTAGCAATCAACAAAGGCTCAGGATTTTGTCTGTGAGAACTCTTGTAGAATTAGGGCCAATACTTCAGTGTAGAGTGCTTGAAGTTGCAGTAAAGAGGCGGATTGCAGTAAATGAGGGGAGAGGAGACCAATGGGGGGCTCCTATCCTTTTTTAAAAAAAACCCCAAAACAAACAAAAGAGCATTGGTCCAGAATTCTGTAAAAAGTTGAGTATGCTGCTAAAAACAAAGAGCAGAAGTGAAACTTGTGCTGTGAGAACATTCCCTTTGGATGTTCTGTGGGTCAGCTGTGGTGCTGCACGTAGTGGGCTACTTTGCATGGAGGTATGAGACAAGTTGGAGATAAGTTATGTTCTATCAAATAGGCTGTGTCTGAGTAAAATGAAAGAAAAATCCTTGTAGCAGCATGTGTCTTAAGATCATAATACAGTTCCATCAGCTGCAGTCAACCTTTGACACTTCCGAAAGAGAGAGGCTTGAAATAACTTCTATCATCCATGCTGCAGATCCTGTAGAAAGGGTATGTATGTGACAGATTTAGGAGGTTGCTGAACCTTTTAGGAGGTTGCTAAAACACTTGTATATATAAAAAAGGATTATAATATGCAGATTAACTTCTCAATGCATGCATGTTTTTACCTTACTAGCAATTTCTTGAGACTGTTAACTCAGCAATGTAGTAGGCCCAGGTTACAAACCTGAGCCAAATGTAAGACTGGGAGGCATTCACAAGCTGGAGAAGTGAGTTTTACATAGTCTCCTTGGGTAAAGAACCTGGAGCTCTCACTACCACCACCTGGGGAAAAGGTAGTATATCCACATAACTGGGAATTACTGTCACTACCCTTCCAAAAGGCAAGCAAAGAGAAGTCTTACTTCCTCTGGTCTCTTCACAAAGGCTCTTCCTTGATCACAGGACCCAGAATGGGATGTGGTGGTTAGGGAGCAAATAGTTTGTAGCACACTACAGCATAGCCAGAGAGTGACAAGGGAAGGCAATTATTTCATTATTATTCCTTTTATTTTCTTATAAATTAACATTCTAAAAAAATTGGAATAGAAACACTAAATACAGTATTGCACATAGTGATCTTTGTTAGATGATCTATTATTTCATTTAGTATAGTAATATACATACTGTAGGTACTGAAGAGAACAGGAAGGCTACAAATGAAAACATGCTACTGTATCCTTGCACTTAGGAGCAAAGTTAGGAGGAAAAGACTATTGTTTACATAAATACAAACATGGATTTGAATCAGTGCCATTAAAATAGCTTTACTCTTTAAAGTTTTTCTTTTTCCATAAGTTAGTCGTAACAGCAAATAATCTCTTGTTTTCTCTTCCCCAAATAGTAATGTTACTCCCATCAACACAAAATTTTAGAATTCCATTCTTGGTAATTTATATCCCTGCCAGAAATTACTGCTAGTACAGATTTTCACATAGGTTTATCAGCAACAGGAGACTTGCTTTTCACACAGTGAAAAAAACCATCTTTTCTAGTGCTTGGTATATGTGAAGAATAACAGATTCCTGAGGTCATATTTTGCACTTCCTTTTATGACACCCTGTAGAGTATATTAGCCTCTGAACAGCTCGGAATGTCTCTTGATGTGCTAGATTAGACAGGGAATGATGCAACCCAGCAGGTTAGAGCTCATTTGCTTTGCCCCAGCGTCTTTCAGGCTCCAAAGCTGTGAGCACGTGCATCCAACTGAGTTGCACACACAGTCTGCTTTCAGGAAAAATTAGCTTAGAAATAAAAACGTTGTCAATCAAACTCATTGGTTTGGGGCTCATAAATAAGGACTGGAGGAAGGAGTTGTTATCAGTTGATCAGTCCAAAACTGATACGGCAAATTCTGGATTGCAAAAAGGAAGTAAGCATGTGGTCTAAAATGGAAGCCCTAAGTAGTATATTTCAATCATTAACCTCTTATTCAGGGACACTGAAAGCCTGGAGGAAATGTCTGTAATTCTGTTAAGTGTGAAATTGATGTCAATTAGTTGGTAGTCTATTGTCTGTCACTAGAATTGGCTACTGTTTTCCATAAATGTTGTCTCCATGTGCATCTTTTAATAGCTCTCTAAAGGAGTTTTAAATTAACTGTAAAGCTAATTCCAGAAGGGAAGTCATGTACATGTGGCCAAAAGCCTGACTTAAGTGATCAGCAGTTAAAACTATACTATACCTTCTAAAGTTCATGTAAAAGTATTAGCTGCTTTATATATTAACAAACTATAATAGCCAAATCTCTCATACTCTCTATCATACTTCTGTGCTTTTCTGTATTTTTCTGCTTTTTCTTTTTTTTTTTTTTTCTTTTCTTTTTTTTCTTTTTTAGTGCTGGATTTCTGACCCCCATACCACCTGGCATTCACTATCTGGCAGAAGATGAAGTAAAAGTATGCTGCCTTATCGATTTTAAACATAGTTACAGTAAACATCTTGTTCCACAAATATTTAGTCATGGAGGGCAACCAAACAAGTTGGGAAAGCATTGATTATACTGTATAAACAGCACTTAACAATTCAAAATACAAACTACAAATGCCAACATGAAACGGATACAAACAATTCACTAGGAGTAACATTTCTTTCCCTAAACTAAGTGCAGTGCCATGAAGTATTTGTCAGATGTTGCCAGTAGGAATGGAAATGTTTTACTGTACCAAGTAGCATTCTTATGAAGTTCAACTTAATGCAATTTTCAGCATGTTCAGAACTGATGCAGATACCACTTTTTATGCATGCTGACTTGTCCTATTTGTAATATACCATACACTTTACAAAATACCATTTTTGAGTGGCAAAGGAGATACAGAGTACAGGGAAGGTGTTTCAAGTCCATACCTAGTCTATTGCTGGGCACTCCAATAAAGTGATTACATTTGTGAATGAATGCACAATAACACATCAGTTGGTGGAAAACTAGAGAACAAAACGCAAAGTTTAAAAGGTCAATGAAGCAAATGATCAGGATGATGTAGTTTCCTTCCCTCTCACTCCCCACCCACAGGCATGTTGAATTTTGGTAACCAGGTAACAATGGCTTTTGAATTTCTTCTTTCAGATTTTCATACTTATCTTTGCTTTCTGAAAAATAAAATAAAATTTAAAAATAAGGACAAAATTTGAGTGTACACAAAACCAACTTACACAAATATGAAAAGCATAAGAAATACATAGGCAAATGCTAGATTATATTTACTGTAGCACTGACTTCACAAATAAACTTTGAAGCTAGAACTGAAGTAGACTACAGCTATGCACTGCTTGTGAAATATTTTTGTTTACTTTCCTTTTCACTCATCAAATTTTCACTAATACTGAAGGTCCCTGTTTCAGTGCAAAAAATAATGATAATTAAACAAATAGTTATTTCTTAAAAGAAATCTCTCAATGTCTTCATATAGAGCAGTATGTAAGTTAGATGAAGTACCCCCAAAAAATGTTACTTTGGGTTTTTTTTTGAAATAAAATGTTGATCTGCTTTTAAGTAAAATTGATAAAATGTAGTTTATAACTCCTTACCAAGCTAGCAATCCATTTACATTTCTTGTGACACTAGACAATCAACTCTCATTAAACATTCAAAATAAGAAACAATAAATGCAATATTATTGCTTCCTGTATCAAATTATATTAGTTAGAGTACAGCAAATTACCTCATGCTTCATTTACAAGATGTATCACAGATTATATGACTACACAGCCATGACTACAAAGCATGAAAGAATTAAGTCATGTCTTGGGGTGGTGGGGAGCAGAGGACAAAGAGAGAGAGACAGACACATGAAAAAAAATCTTCTAATATTTTTCAAACAAAAATGATGGCCAGTTGCTACAGTTATGAATTAAATGTGAGGTACCAAAATAATTTTTCTGTAAAATCAGTCATGATCCTTACAATGGTTAGGCAATCATAGGGGAAAAGTTTCATTAAATGACCAGAATTACTCCTCTATTATCACTGAAGTTATTTACTTGTTTTCAAAAGAATGGTGAAAGCATAGTATTATCTTTTTCTAGTGTTTCTATTCCAAACAAATCCATATCAGTGGATCAGAAAACACTGTATTTGATATAGTGATCCAGCTCAAAAAATGTGTAACTATCAAAATTCTTCCTTTCATGCTATATCTGTAGAAAAGAGAATGAATACAAACAGAATAAGCTGGAAGACCAAAACGGCCTTTCTGCCTTCTATGTGCATCCTACACCAAGACTAGGAAGAACAGAGATTGGCTCAGTGGGGCAATAATAAACTGCTCTTTCTTGTGCTACACCTATTTTGTGGAGTAATATTCATAGGCAGATTTCAAGTTTGTTAATTTAACACCTTTAAGAAAAATGTTAAATATTAAAGAAAAAAAACCAAAAAAACAACCCAAAACAAAAACATAGATCAAGAATAACTTCCCTATAAAATGCAAAGAGAAAAAGATGAAACAATTGATATAAACAGAAGCATTGCTACAAATTTTACTTACGATTCCAGAGTCATGTTTTGGTCTAATGTTGTACAGAGACTTCCCCTTTTTCTGCCTGCAAACTTCCTCTGCTTCTTTGACTCTGAAGAGAGACAAAATCTATAAATACTCCTGTACACCAACAACATTTACAAAGACAATGCAGTACAAAACTTACAAGTTAAGGCCTGAGGACACAAGTGGATAACTTCATTCTCCATATATTCATTAGCATGCTCCACAAAATAGTTCTCACACTCCAGGGCTGCTGTAGCCATATCCGGCACTTACACGGACAGGCATAACCAATTGAATAATCAATTCTAGTTACAAAAGCAATCAGTACTTAGTGCAGCTGAAGATTCAAATGTATGAGGGTTTAAAATACACTGGATGATATGAAGTTTACATTTCAGAGCATTCATGCACATATTGCTAAGAAAACTCCTTTTTTTTTTCACTGTTTAAAATACTTCTTCATCTATTCCAACCCTCAGTATTTCAATTACAATTTAAACAAAGTTTGTCACCAAGCTGTGTTCCCCTCCACCCATTTTTTTTTTTGTCTTTAAAATGGCAAAATAGCTTAACCTAAATTTCCAGTCTTTACTCTCAAACTTTAAAAAAAAAAAAAAAGGAAAATTTCTATGGAACATGATGTTTAACCCAAGGTGATGCATGTGACTGCACGCATCTCTTTAATTCCAAAGCTGAGGAACCTCAAGGCTTACGTGACCACTGGGGATGAATGCACTTTGGCTGCTTGGATGTAAAGAGAGGAGGAGATTCTAAAAGTAAGGGTCTACTTAGTGCTCCCTGACATGGCAAACACTACCAAATTAGGACCTTGTGAAAGGCCACCACATTTTTGGTGAGAGAAATATCCTTTTTCATCATGCAGATAGAAAACAAACTGTGAAAGGCAGAGGACTACACTCAGACTGGGAGCCTGCCAGAATCCAGCTGATGAGTTCAATGCCACACTGTAAAATGTTTCTTTACAATTTTCACTCATTTTACATATCAATCTTGTAAACACACATGATTGCTGGAACACTGATAATACAGATTTTTGTTATGAATTCTCTGAGCTGCAAAGACTTAGATAAACACTTTTTCTATAAGAGAACATTAAATCATGTGAGAACTTCAACTTTTTTAATAAGAGATGAGATTTTTTTTGATAAATAACAAAGTAGAAAACAAAAATGTAAATCCTATATTGGCTTGATCTTGCCAAAAATATGGACTTGAGATGGCACTTAGTCTGACTTTTCACCATTATCCAAGAGTGAAAAAAGAAACAACAGTTGAATGATATTAAGAAATCATATATCCTTGGCTGGTTCCTTGCAGTTCATCTCCAGACCACTAGTATGCCTGTTATGTCACTGAGGCTACACACTGAGAATCCAACTTTGTGTTACTATTTTTGTGTGCGTGATAAGGGCCAAAATTTTGAAAATAAAACTCCAACTGAGTCTGCTAAGCATATTAAAAAAACCCCCTTCATATTCATCTCTACTTTATTCTACTTCACCAGACACACCTTGTTCTTTTCATACGTTTCAAGTTGATACATTCCAAAATTAATTTAAATGTCAGTTATTTTCCAGCACTTCTACAACCTGCCCTCTTCATTTAATGGTCTTGTATATCTTGTTAGTGTAGGGAGACCTTCATGTGCACAGGTCCGGAGGAAAAAAAGTTTTGAAACCTCTTATTTCAAGCTGTAATGCTTTCTCTCTGACTGCAAATCAGACAGATTGCAGCATAATCTAGAACAAAAATGTCAAGCAGCCAAGTAATTCACCTTCAAAATGTATATAAGTAGATTCAGTAAAAGAGGCAGCCAAAATGTGGTGATAGCTTCAAATAGAAAATTATGGAAATGATGCAGAATGGAGAAAAATTCAAAGACATTTTCTTTTCTCTATAGCAATTTTTCTTCTGCTTCATGTCTACTTTTCTCCAAAGGAGGAAAAAATATCTGTGACAATGATCTTCCCATGATCTTTTCTAAACATTCAGACACATTCCAACCTATCAATAGCCACTCTTACGAAGTCAGATATAAAATAGCAAATCTATCACATCATTTCCTCTTTTTCAAATACAAGTACAGTTGGCTCCCCTCACTGTAGACATAATTTAAATAACAAAATGAAATCTTACATGTGTGTAAATTAGTATCAAACCCCTGTATGTGTACAGGGACTATACAAGTACTATTGAGTTTATCAAAATGACTGTTTTATCAAAGCAGTGGAATATATGCAGGTATTCAGACTACTCAACATGCAAATGGCAGCATATGCAACGTAAAAAAATATTTAACAAATCAGTTCTCACTGATCTAGGTGTTATTCTTTGGGAATTCCAGGGAATCTTCAACTCCAGTCTTTGTCCCACCTAAACATCCCCCTTCCAGGATGGATTACTGACTGCCTGCTAAGGTCACGAGACAACACAGCTCCCTGTGGGTCTCATGTTAATTCAAAACAAAAATCCTCACACAGTAAGGAACCCTTGATAATGCAGCTCTTTTCTAAAGACCAGGTCCCATTAAGTGTCACTGTCAGTGTAACATCTCTACATAGTCTGCTTCAATTGAGAAACAGCTTTTTGGAGAAAGGCTGTCTCTGCTTGAAACAGCAAAATGTTAATAACACGCCACCCTGTGAAGGAGGAAGTCAGAACTTCTGTGTCCCTGAGATAGCCCTTCAAAAATGATCCACAACCTCCAGACTGATAAGTGACAAGCTTAAGGTTGTGTTTCCCAAATTTCCAGTATTATGTAAGAGGTGCTGGTCTCAATAGTATGGTTGCAGTTCTCAAGATTTTGGGAGCTTTATGAAATTCCTAGGAGTTTGAGCCTATTTATTCGTACCAAGGGAAATACAGAAGATGAGAAGCATTACTCCCTAATGTACTTAAGGCTGAGAGCTAGTAACCACCCAGTTCCAGTTCCAACCATATCCCTGACTCACTGTGTGGGTTTGGGACAGTCCACAGCCTCCTGGCTCGCATCCTGCTCTCTGTGCAGGAAGCTCCAAGTGGTTGGACAGGGACTCAGTGAAGCCCATGTGACCCATACATATGATTCTTCAGCAAGAAATGCCCTGAGAAATGTAAAGGTAGCACACCAAAGGCTCATTTCAAGGAGGTTTAGTTTGTGACCATATTAAATCTGAAAGCATGGACAACTGTATAAATCTACAGCTGTATCTAAAAAAGAAAAGCCAGCAGACTGGTGAAATAGAGACAAAGGCAACTATTAGCCTTCCACAGGGCCAAATCATAAACCAGTGATTGTGGTTAGCAATTTTGACAGTGTGCAAATATATTTTGTGAAGGCTGATCATTCAGCTTAATTAAGATTTTATTAAATGTAAAATTAAAATAACTTAATCCTTCTGGAAGAGGAAAAGGATGTGTTTTGTAGGAGCACCAGCAACATTTAAACTGTGTGACCTGGAGAAGCAGATAAAAGGTTACATTTGAAGTAAGGGCAATAGTATTAGTCCAGTTGGAAAATAATTGCCACTGGCAAGGTTTTGTCATCTTAGGTTTTCTCTACTGGCCACAAATGTTTTTTTTCATCTTTCCATGAAACTAACAAGATTTAGGCAAAAGCACATTCCTTGTCAGCTCATGGCTGGTTCAAGCCATATTTCTCACAATGGCAAACAAATTCCTGTGTACCTTCCTCTTGCTCAGGCTTTTCCTGCACTACTTCCCACTGACTTCAGTGGGACCCTGATCAGCACGGAGGTGCAAGACAATAATCTAAGACAAAAAAGTGCAAAAATTGCATGAACACTATTGATTATGGGTTAACTCAACTGTGGTGAGTTAATAGAGCTTTATGAAGAAACTAATGGACATAATTCAATAATGGGAAGAGGAAAAAAGGATTTTTGGAGAAAACAGCGCAAGACTCCCAACAGTCACAAAAGGAGAAGCAAGAGAACACAACAACATATTTCCAAGCTCCAGTCCAAAATGACACTACCACTGTGCCAATGCAGAGCTCAAAGAGCAAAAAAACAGTTAAAAAGATATTCCTAGGAAAGGGGTGGGTATTCAATTTTCAGGCCTTCTGTGGAAAAAATAGGCTGCCACTGGGGAGACTGTGGAAGAAAAGTCTGAGGAAGGTGAGTGTTCCCCCGTTCTGAGAATTATAACCCTTAAGCAAAAGCAGGCATGTGATAGATTGATTTATTGTTCAGAAAATCTGTTTTTACTTAAACTATTTAGTTCTTCACTACTAATACTTTTCTGTTAGAGAAGCTTTTGGTCTCCTCACAGAGCCAGCACTCTCAACAGCAAATCCTCAGAAGCAGGACAGATCTTCCAGGCATGATCTGAGAGTGAGAGAGGAAGATGGAGGTGGAAAAGACATGGTGTGCTCTTGGAAAAGCCAGGTGGTACCCTTAACTTGATAAGTGTGGTGGGAATGACTTGCATGCTTGCAGTGTGCTAAACTTTGCTAAACTGATGCTCAAACTGTCCCACCTCATACTTTACAACCACTTCTCAAAATCACTTTATTTCAGCAAAATGACTTTGGTTCATTTACTATCAATCCTTGTCCCATTTTATGCCAATTCTGGCTCAAAAGTGAGCATATTAGTTTGACAGAAAAAATAACATCAGCTGTGTTACCTTTAGCAATTTTTGCCTCTTATTCTTTTCCCAAGTATTTTCTTGATTTTGTCTTAATGAGCACATAATTCTACAAAAACTAGAGTTCTCAGCCTAGACAACCAGAGAGTTGATAATTAACTCTCACTGTAGTAATCTGAAGAGCAGAGCTATTCAAACCCAGGGCAGATTCTATAAATACTTGTTAAGAGTGTTCATCACTTGAATCTCCTTAAATAATAGATTTAGCTAAAGCATTTTTGCCATTGTTTCAGAAAGAATATACTTCCAAATAGCCCCAACAATAAGAAAACATGTAGGGAACATAGAACATTGGGCGATCAGTGGATCTGTTAAAAAAAAAATTAAACAAAAAATCTACAAGGGAATGAATAGCCAGTCACTTACAGAGCCTAAGATTATCGTCTTGAAATCTGCTACCTAATAAGACTGAGT